GACAGTATTATTATTAGTAATAATGAGATTATAATCATCATGTGCTATCATGTGCTCTTTTACCTAAAATATCTAGTTTATGACTCATAGATAATTCGAGAATTTTTCTTTTTTCTTTCTTTGAGATATGGCCTCACTCTGTCACCCAGGCTGGACTACAGTGGCCCAATCTTGGCTCACTGCAACCTCCGCCTTCCAGGCTCAAGTGATCCTTCCACCTCAGCCTCCCGAATAGCTGGAACTACAGGCACACGCCACATGGCCTGCTAATTTTTGTATTTTCTGTAGAGCGAGGGTTTCACCATGTTGCCCAAGCTGGTCTTGAACTTCTCAGCTCAAGCAATCCACCCTCCACTTCTTCCTAAAGTGCTGGGATTACAGGTGTGAGCCATTGTGCCTGGCCCAGAATTTCTTAATAGTGTCAAATTTCCTCAATATCCTTCAACGTTTCAAAAAACCTATCAAAACTTAGCAACACTAAAAAGTTTCTATTTTTACACTATTCGATCATCTGGTGGTGGTAATATTTTAAAAAATGACCTCACAATCAATGAATATTGACAGACTGAATAATATTACTTCAATTCTGTTATTTAGAGTTGCTAGTCATGAACATGCAGTATAAACCGTTATGAGACATTAGAAACTCTTGTTAAACTAGAGAACGGTATAGTAAGTAAACACCATTAGAAACAAACACCTCAGTTTTGTCAAACCCTGAGATTTTACTCACTGTACTTTCCTCCTTGTAATATTAGCCAAATGTCCTAAAAGCTACTGATAACCTGATAAGCCAAATCTGTTAATATAGACTCTAAATCTATAACAAGTCTCAAGAAACTGGAGGGATGCTAGCCATTCAAAAGCCTTTTGTAGAACAAGTTAATCTATTAGTTAGCTATGACCATAAAAGGCAACCCAACAAATAAGAAGTTGGGAGACCTGGGTTGTACCTTAGCATTTTCTCCAGTTGTTACACCAGTGTGGAAAAGTTCCTTAATAACTTGAACTGTTCAGTTTATTTTAATATTTCATATTTATATATTTCTGAGATAGGATCTTACTCTGTTGTCCAGGCTGGAGTGCAGTGGTGTGATGTTGGCTCACTGCAACCTCCTCCTCCCAGGTTCAAGCAATTCTCGTGCTCCGGCCTGCCGAGAAACTGGGACTACAGGCACGAGCCACCACACCCAGTTAATTTTTGTATTTTTAGCAGATGAGGTTTTACCACGTTGCCCAGACTGGTCTCGAACTCCTGGTCTCAAGTGATGGGTCACCCTTGGGCTCCCAAAATGCAGGGATTACAGGTGTGTGCCACTGCACTCGGCCTCTTTGATTTAAAAAATATGATTGGTCTGAAACATTTCTGAGCTCCTTTCCAGTTTCAAAGTTCTACAATTACAAGAGTATTCTGAAGTGATGGAAGGCAATCTCACACCTACCATTCTGTTCCCGCTGCACTCCTGCTGCCAGAAGGTCGGGCTCCCCAAGGCTGATGTCATTGAGCCTGGTCCCCAGACACTCCATGCAGAGGTGCTTGCACCACTCCTCGGCCTCCAGCTCTGAAAGTAACCACAACATCACCAGTCAAGCAATGCTCCCTAGGAATGATGGAAGAAGAATGTGCCCTTAACCATTTTCCCAGGTAACTGGCAAGAGTTAAGAACCTGCCTTTAAAAAACAACAAACTGTATTTAGGAAGTGAAAATAAGTCTCAAAAATTATTTCCCACTCTTTGACATTATATTTTTAAGTGGTTTATCTTATTTGTAGTACTTTACCTTATTTACAAATAATAGTCTGAGAATATTTGTTTCCTATATAGCATAGTTCAGATTGATTTTATTTGGGGAGGAAAATTAAAATAATAAATTAGCCAGGTTTAGTTACCTGGCTAACTCATATATACTACAAACCATCATGCTTTACATTATTTTTATATATATATATATACACACACACACACACACATATACATGCACACACACACATAATATATACACATATATATACTTCAAAACATGCTTTACATGTAAATACATTTAATTTTATGTCAATGTAAAAAATTAAGTAAATACAAAAAATATATAAGTGAATAGTTGAAACAATATCAGGATAGATTAAACAAATGAACGTTTTCCTGAAAGTGACTTAGATTTATGAGTTTGAAGATCTGATCCCCAAGTCATTCTGAATTGTAATGGATCATAAATTAGCTCTAGAATGTGATTTTTCTCTGTAAATGATACAAATTAGGCTATTTTTTTTAAAACATTGGGGTAGAATCTTAAAAGTATGTCTTCTCTTTGGGAAATTCCAATTACCTAAGACGTTGATTAGATCATTGCTTTTTTTTTTTTTTTTTTAACTATGATTACTTCCCAATTTCTTTATAATCACATTTTCCTCTTGCTTAAAACATTATAATGTTATATCAACACAAAATCCTATCATATCTAAAGTTTTCACAGGCTTTCATAAACGTAAATGAATTTGACTTTGGTGTAAGCCCTGTGTGAGTGAGGTAGCCAAGGGTTAGGGTCATACCTGTGCCTCAAATCATTGGTCAGCACCAAAACAGAACTGGAAATCAGCCAAGTCTCCCAGCTATTTTACTATGCAGAAATTTGAAAAGGGATCTCAGGTTTAATATTTTAGGCCAAGCTCCAATATCACTGTACAGAAATTGGATAAGAACTTTCCACTGACATCTGCCCAGAGAAGTTTCTGACTTTTCCATACAGCATAAATCTGTACTAGAACAGTTTCATATGGATTCTCTGTAAATCTCTTGTTGCTCTCTGTGGATGACACCTCACCCTTTGCCTTGGCATTTTAAACTCCCCGTAAAAAGTTATCTGTGACAGATTTTCTTGACTTTAGGGATCTGAATACCAAAACTAGGCTCTCCTTGACGGTCAACACCATCAAATTTGGGTAATGTTTTCTTTCTGAGCTTAGTCACGCTGCCTTTGCAGCAAAAATAAGTTGCATCAATGAGATGTGAAGACACATTTGTCATTTATTTTTAGTTTTTTCAAGACCATGACATACTTTTAAAAATAAAGAAAAAGACATGCAGTTCCCCATGGGATCCTATTCTAATAAAAACAATAGTTCCAACGTTCCCATCATGAAAAGCATGTTTTTATCTATGAAAGCACAGTTTGCATGTAGAAGGGACCATCCCCTCACTGGTGTAAGGCACACTATCAAACCATGTCAAGGATCAGGAAATTTTCAAGAGGGCCTGGCTCCCTCACTTGGGTAGAGTCAGAGGCCTGGGATATAGCTGCTCAGGCATTTCCTTAGGAACCCAGAAAATAATCCTTTCCAACCACAAGGCTGCCAATATAATAAATGCACCATTTGCTGAGGCGATGGCTTACTAAAAATAACAAAAACAAAAACCAAAAAAACAAAAAAACCTTTTTTCTTCTAGGAAGCAAATGCCAGATTTCAAAGAAAAATTTTATAGGAGCAACAAAAGCATATATTGAATGTGATTTTATTAGATACGGAAGTATTTATAAAATGTATAAAAGATTTAAAAGATTTTCTAGCAATCAACGAAAATATTTTAGGTTAAACCAATTTACAAGCTATGTATCAAGAAATGTTTGAAATTTCTGTCAAGAGAGGCACTATGATTATTGTTTTTCTTTTAAAAATTTTTACTGTTTTAAATTTTTCACAAGACTCCACAATGTAAAAATAATGTAAAGTCACATGCAATTAAAATCTTTCCTACACTATTGTATGTAACAGTATTTCCACTTCTCTACAGATGAAGATGAAAATATCTAATGTGCTATTTGGGGGTAAAAATTAGGTGCCAAAGCACCTTGGTGCCAATGTTCTCCTTAAGCAGTCAGTCAGTGCATGCCCGGACGTTTAAGAAATATATAATTCACTCCTCCTTTGTGTTAAGCCTTTTGTCCTAGGGTTTAATGAGACAAAGAAAGCAATCATACAGTAAAAGGCTTCTATGAAATTGGAGTGGACTCTTTCAAGCAGAACTAAATGCAGAATTTCTGTAAGTGCTGGAACAAAGAAGTCTCCCACAGAGCAATGAGAGGTATTCATGGGCTCCTACCAGCAGATAAAGACGTGTTTCGCAGACGGGGCTTCAGCATTTCAGTAGTGTAGTAGCATATAAGACTAGGAATAGCAAGAATAACAAAAGTGGAGTACATACGGTCGGACTAAAGACTGAACTGTGAACTATTTCAAAGAGAGGAAGAGAGATTCTTACAATTCAGGGCTCATTCCTTTATCAAATATATTGTGAACTCTCTTTATGCCAGGCACTGCGCTAGGAGGTTTTATGAAAAACACACCATTTCTGCTTTCAATAATCAGAGTCTAGTGGGATAGGCAGGTGGGTTTAGTATATGGTGCTCTGGAAGGCTGTTAGCCTAGCTAGGTAGAAACGGAGGAACTATGCCAAAGGCTCAGCAGAGTTGAAAGTATCAGGGCAAGCAGAGAGAAATGATGATGTGTGTGTTAGTGAGCAAGTGTGAGTGTATATCTGTGTATGTGGGTGTGAGTGTGTATAGCAGTGTGTAATGTGTAGGTGTGTGTGCACACAGCAGTTTTGATGCGTGAGTGTGCATGTGTACTCATGTTTGTGAGTGTATGAGTGTGCGTTGGAGGAGTCTGGGAGGAGTGAGGAAGTTGCCTGAGGCAGAGAGGGAAAGACATTTGCAGGGTAGCAAGAGTGACATCCCGTAACAGCTGGGGATAGCTCTGAGTTCATGTAGAAAAATGTGAGAAATGGTATTAGTTCATTCTCTTCCTGATTTTCTAGTATTTGGCTCAATTAGATCAGGCCTAAAACTTCACCTCATAAATATTAACCTTTGTACTCTGTATACTTGGAACTAACAGTTTTGCTGCAGATAAGCTGAATTTCTTTGACTTTTAGACAAAGCTTTGGTTTTATAAATCTGTTTTTGATAGTCACCACCTTTCAAATAGTACAACTGTGCTTTTTAATTCTTCTTTCTTAGGCAAGCTCTATGTATTGAAGTCTTTTAATCTTTTATTGCATGTTAATTTTTTATCACTATTTAATTGGTGTTTTTCTCTAAATTATCTTTCACCTTTCATTTTTATATTTTTTTACAGAACTGAGATTCAATACAAATGTAAAAATCTGAACCCACCCACTGCATTTTAAAATGTTTATTTTCCCATAGACTGAGTGCCTTTTGTAATTTGCTTTATCTTGCAAACTTTTTAGTCTACGCATAATGTGTAACTAATTAAATTTCATTATGGGAGAATAAAGACATTAAAGTGTTCTATAAAGTTTTCTATTTTTCTCTTCATGATGAAGTGCTTTTTCATTAAGACGCCTTTTTCAGATAGCTTGCAGCTATGTTCAAATTTTTAATTGAGTAAATAACTTTCTCTCTGGACTAGAAACACAAATAATGTTTCCATTATGTAGAGGATTAGTTAAATGAAGAAATTTGGTAATTTCCAAAAGGAAAATTGAAAGGCATTTGGGAATTCTAAGACAAATGGAGACTAGAGATTAAATTAAACGGTGAATTATGTGACAAGTGGGTTGATTGATGGCACAGAAAATGATGGGAGTCCAAAACCAATTCAGTCAAAGACTGGCTCCTCCCTGTGTTTCAGCGTTTTGCCATTTCTCCACAGAATTCTGGGGAAAGTATGGTGTCTTACAATACAGTGACATGTATTGTAAGTGACATGTATTGACATGATGCAGTGCTATCTTTAATTCTGATTCAAAGGAATCAGAAGAGGTATTTAAATAGAAGGCCTTTAATAAATGCCTATTGACTAAATAATTAGATTCAAGCTTTATTGCTTTCACTAAATTTAGTCCTTAACATAATGACATTAAAGTTAAATGATCCAAAATGAGCTATATTTGACAACAGAGTGAAAAAGTTTTCATCATATATATACAGAAAACATGCCATCAGCTCAAAATTACATAGCAGAATTAAAAATAGCACTGCATCACTTTGTTATTTTATTCGAAGATGCAAGTAAGACTTTTTTGTGTTAAAATAATAAATCATTGTATCTAGTTCCCACTGGAGTTAGCTTTTATTAATAATCTTTGGAAAATGTAGACAAAATAATCCTGTTTTGTCTTCAGCATAAGCACAAATTCTTAATTCTATCTAATTATGTTCTGTGCAGATTTGCTATGATTTGATGATAAAGGTGGTTTTCATATTAACATCTTAAATACATGCTTTGCCATAAAGTGAAGAAAAATGTTTCCCTTACAGCCTTTTGCTTGGAGAATATAACACTCTCCCTTATTGTCATTTAAAATTTTTGGAACTATTAAAACATAAGACATTTTGGCGATGCTTTCATTCTTAAACTGGCGTGACTTTCTACTTAGCTGGCCTTGCTGATGTTCTATGGACTTTTGCTTCCCCACGCCCCCCCTTTCTTTTTTTAATAGTAGGAAGACAAGAAACCAGTTAAAACCTAAACACCGCCGGGCATGGTGGCTCATGCCTATAATCCCGCCCGCCTCGGCCTCCCAAAATGCTGGATCACTTGA